TGAGAAAATCACCTTTAAAGTTGTCCAAATTAAGTTCTTAGCAATGCATATTACTAATCACAAATTAAGTTTTGATATATTTACGGTAGGACATTTACAAAATATCTTCATGGAACATGATCTTTACTTAATATCCTAATGATTTTTGGAATAAAAGAAACATTGATAATTTTGACCCATACAATGTATTGTTGGCTATTGCTACAAATATACCCCAGCGACTTAACACTGCTTTTGTGCTCCAGGGTCACATTTACTCAAGCAAAATTGTCTAATAAGATTTCTTTTAAATATATATATTTTGCTTTAAGTCCATTTTTACTTGTGAAATATGTATCTGACTAAATATGAGATATATGCATAAAACAAAGAAAAATACAGTAAATAAATGCAAAAATAAAACAATTATTCTCTTAGTTTTAATGTCTTATGGAGTTTTGCATTTTAGGTAAATTATATCTTAACTTAAGGGTGTGAAGATATAGTAACTGTAAAACAAAACAAAAATATTGAATAAAAATATTAATAGAGAAAATTGTTTTGTTTGATATACACAATTTTTTGAAGTTAAAAAGACTGTTAATAACATAATATGAGAGATGTTTGTTGTTTGTTAGCGTTCTCTCAGCTCGGCAGTTTGTCACATAAACAAACACGTCCTCATTAACAGAGGAAAGAGATCCAGACATTAAGAGCAGAGTCTCTGATGACAGTAATGAAGAAATATCACTGATGTGTGTGTGTGTGTGTGTGTGTATGAGTGTGTGTGTGTGTGAGTTTGTGTGTTTGTGAGTGTGTGTTTGTGTGCGAGAGTGTGTGTGTGTGTGAGCAGGGCCGTATTAACCATTGGGCTAGGCGGGGCTGAAGCCAGCATGGGGCCCGAGCAAGGAGGGGGCCCGTGATTGGCTGTGGGGTAAAATGACTGTCGCGCCGACCGCCAAAGCCACCACGCCCCCCACTTATTAGCGCTGTTAATTAGTTGAGTTTTTCTGTAAATTCCATGCATTACCATTTGCAATTGAAACGTAAAGTCTGAATTTGGTTTACCAATCAAATGCATTTATTCTATATTTGACTTTTGAACGATATGTGCACGTATCTATCAGGTGATCGCTGCCCAGTATGTCTGCATTCACCTCTCTTCACTTCGTTCTGGAGTAGCCTAATCTGGAAATGGTCGCGCAAAGAACAATATTCGATAAGTAAAAATGTCAGCAATTCTGAGAGACGGGCTCAAAAAATTAAAAACTTAAAATACAAACAACAGAAAAAAAACATGAGTTAGTCAGTAAAATCCCCAGCTATCAGGTTATTTTACTAAAGCTGATGATGGAGTGGAAGTTGCTGGAACAGCAAGTGAACCGGGCACATGGAGCAGAAAAAAAAGTGTCATCGTCTACACAGATTTTAGGTTAGTTTGATTATTAACTGGATTTATATTGTTTTTGTGTTTGAACAAACTATATTCATTTAAGGGTTGGCAGATAATTCGGTAAATATATCAATCGTTGATTCAAGCGCGTCATGATTTATATGCTAAGCTTATCATTTAAACGTGTTTTAAAACATGGTTTAAACTGTTCATGGACATTAAGCAGTGGGGCAGAATTCATTCTGATAAATACGTGCATTAAGACGGTTTCAGCCTGATTCGCGCGACGCACACTTGCTTGTATAACGACTGACTAAACTTTCGCTCCTTGTGCTTAAACGTTCAAATACACATAGTTATGTGTCAAATGCCCATCTTTGCGAGTATCCTCATAAACACAGTTATTTGTGTCTTAAATTAACGTTAATAGTTAAAGATAAAGCATGTGTAGTGTTAGGCTACATGAGATCCTGGATTATATGATGAGATCTTAAAAGGATAGTTCACCCAAAAATGAGCGTTCATCATCAGGGTTGCCAGGTTTTCACAACAAAACCTGCCCAATTGCTACTCAAAACTAGCCCAAAACTAGCCCAATCACGTTTCGAGGGGGATCCCCCGGTAAAAATCGCATTCCGGTGGGGTACAATACACGTTTTTGGTAATTATTCGCATTTTAGGGGTTAAATATTACGTTATTGGGGTCGCTTCAACCCACAGACATGAAAAACAACCCGCAGCACAGGTGTTAAAGGGGTCATATGATGCTGCTAAAAAGAACATTATTTTGTGTATTTGGTGTAATGAAATGTGTTTATGCGGTTTAAAGTTAAACTACAATACTACAGCGAGAATAAAAGTTATGCTTTCTTTCTTTGCGTGAACATTTGGGCGGCTTTATGCAAATCTTCCCACATAGTGAGGTAGGTATGTGGGGGCGTGTTCGAACGAGCCGTTTTAGGTAGGTGTGGCTAACTCTTAACTTTTATAAAGAATATCTCTTTGGATTTGAGACTTTAGTCTTTGCAACTTTACAGATCTTCTTTATGCACCAAGAGCTTGTAACACTCTAAAGAGAAAGGAAAAAATGAAATCGCATCATATGACCCCTTTAAAGAAGCCCAAATCGGCGGGAAAACCGCGGACTTGGCAACACTGGTCATCATATACGTACCCTCAAATTGTTCTAAACCTCTATGAATTTCTTTTTTCTCCTCAACATAAAAGAAGATATTTTGAAGAATGATCGTAACCAGTTTCTGGTCCCCACTGACTCCAATAGTGTATTTATTTTTCATACTATGGAAGTCATGGGGGCCCAGCAACTGTTTGGCTACCAGTATTGTTCCAAATATATTATTTTGTGTTCAACAGCAGAACGAATCTCATACAGGGTTAGAACAACAACAACATTTTCATTTTTGGGTGAACTTTTCCTCTAAAGCAGCCTAATATAGCTGCTGTTGCCATCTGTGTCAATGATATAAATAAAACATCAGAAATAAATTAACTTACTGTCTTTGACTGAATCACTTTTGTAAAATAAATAATGAATGTATATTGAATTTATACAATGAAGACTATTCAGTCTATTTGTACATTTTCTTTATACAATATAATATTTATTATTCAGTGCTTTAAGTTTTTCAAGTAGGCCGTTTTTTATGATCTTTGTTCTGTTGTAGCCTAATTTGTGACTGTTTACTTGTCTTCAGTAAGCTTATTTTTACTTAGGCTAGTATTATTTTTTGTGATATTGAAATTGGTAACAAAAATTATGAAATTTCAGAGCATCAAGAATTTGTGTGTGTGTGTGTGTGTGTGTGTGTGTGTGTGTGTGGGTGAGTGTGTGTGTGTGTGTGTGTGTGTGAGAGAGAGAGAGAGAGAGAGAGTGAGAGTGAGAGTGTGTGTGTGTGTGTGTATCCTCACTGATTCTCTGTTCTCTCTCTCTCTCTGCAGGGAATCGGCGGTCGGGAAGCTCCCATGAAAGCGACCAAACCGTGGAATAACCAGCGATTTATCGGCATGTTTGATGTGGTGAACACGACCAAACAGGACTCCGGCCGTTACCGATGCATCGTCCACTCGAACATAGGCGTGGGAGTGTCCAACTACGGAGAGCTGACCATCAAACGTGAGTCACACAAACGCACACACACTCACACGCACACGCACTCACATGCACACATACAC